AATACTTTTATAGTGTTTTTATTTATTTTATTATTTATTATTTATATATTAAAATAATTATAAATATATTTAAAATAATAAAAAAATTCATAAATAATAATAATAATAATAATAATAATAATAATAATAAATTTTGATAGAAAAATAGTTCAGCCAGCATACCGGGGTGACTATTTATAGTAAATAAATTAATTCACTAAAATTTAAATTTAAATTCTAACCAAAATATTTATGTTTTGCATAAAAAAGAAAGAAAAAATAACCAGATTCAAACAACTTTAAAGTACTTTGTTTTTCAACTTCAACATTGTATTATGGATGAATATTATAAATGATTTCTTAATTATAAAGTAATGTCTAATATGATATTTGAATTTTAATTTGAAACTATTTTAGCCACATAACTTTAAAAATTTTTAATGCGATACTTAAATTAAGAATATAATACATACACCTCTAATATAGTTAGTTTCAAATAGTGACTCATCAAAGACAAATAGTTTTTTAAGTACGAAATTAGTTAATATATTTATAATTCATATATTATATTAAAAAAATTTAAAATTTAAATATCATATTAAATATTTTATTATGATTAAGAAGTTATTTATAATGTATTCCTTGTAGTATAAACTTACCATCTTTTGGTAAAAATTCCATTAAGCCCTTGCTATATTAAGTTCTCCTCGATGCCCTATAATTATAAACTATTTTAATAAAAATTTTAGCCATTTTATATAAGGTCATCAATTAAGAGTCGAAACTAGACTCTCCATTCCTTTTAGTATTTGATCAAATTGCATAAGAAACTAGTAGTAAAAAACTTATATTTGTGAGGTTAATAGTATTAGTAATTCTTAAATTATAAATTAAATTCTATTTTGATCTCTAATTTTTTAAAAAATTAATTAGATCTCTAATTTTTCAAAATTGTAATATTTTGGTCATTTCTTCTATATAACAGTCTAAATAGACTATAAGTGCCAAGTGGCACCATGTTGATGGCATCAAGTGGCATTTTACATGGAAGACAAAGAGACCAAAATAAAATTTTACTCAAAGTTTAAAGATCAAAGGCACTAATATCTCAAATTTTTTTACATTTTAGATATATTTTATAAACTATTAAATTTAAAATAATATTTTTTATTTTTTATTGTAATATAATTTACTAGTTAGTTTTTTTATTTTAATAGAAAATAGGTTTTCAAATTTTAAAATTGAATTAATATTTTCAAAATCCTTTTGAAAAAAATCCATATTATTTTAAACAATTAAGTTAAAATTTAAATATTAGTTTAAAAATTATTTTAAATTATAATAGTTTGAAAATATATTTGAATTACAAAAAATCAAAAAATTTTCTTTAGTTATTTTTATTTGTTTCCTTTTTATTTTTTATAAAATATATTTTAAAATGGAAAAGATATTTTACATTTTTAAAATCAAATTGATTTTTTTGGATAGAAAATGAATAATATTTTTAATATAAAAATTATATTTTTTGTTTTAAAAATGATATGAAATTTTTAAAAAGGAATATGAACATGTTTAACTTAATTTTAATTTTTAAAAATCTATTTTCTATTAAAAAATTAACTAATAAATTTTATTATGATAAAAAATATAAAATATTATTTTAAATTTAATATCTTAAAAATATATTTAAAAGATAAAAAAAATTCAACATAATAGTATTCTTGATTCTTAAACTGTTAGCGAATTTCTATTTTGATCCCTTCTTGCCACTTGAGAAGCCAACTAACTTATATGATATCAACTTGCATTTATTGTTAATTTAGATGGTTTTATATATGAAAAATCAAAATAAGACTTCTTTTTTTTTTTTGTAATTAGGGATCGAATTAAAGCTTTTAAAAATTAAGAACTAAAATAGAATTCAACTCAAAATTTAAAAACCACGTGTGTTATTAACTCTATTTATTATATTGTTTATTCTTATTGGTTTTTTTATTCCATTAATTAGCAACTTTGGTATATTAAATGTTAGAAAATATTTTCGAAAATATAATTAAGTAATAAACTTAATCATAAATGAGATCCATCAACACAACCAAATTAAGAAAGGAAGTAAACCCAAAAAGCAATTACTCCAAAAAAATTCCTCAATCAATTTCAAAAGATAAGAAAAACATAAACCTAGAATTGAAATACTCCTTAAAAGCTCAAAAACATAAATAAGCAATTGATAAAAGGTTTCAAACCCAAAACCCACCAATTTTCAACATACTCGAACTTGACACAATACACAAACAGCAACAGCCCATAGTAATTAATCAGAAACCACAGACACAAAACAACAACTTAGAATTCAACAAACAATCCAATAGACATAGACAAAAATTCATCAAGCAGTACCTAAGACCACAAACAGTAGAAGCAATATGGTAGCAAAAAATTACAAAATAGGGGTTTTTAGGATTCTTTGAGAAGTATACATTTTAAGACTTTGATTAGATTAGAAAAGGAAAAATAAAGAGTTTGTGACTAGTGGTAACCAAATCTAGTGGTTTTTAGCAATGGTTGGAGTTAATTTTGATTTTAAGATTTGAGGTTAGTTTTAGAGATTACGGGCAAAGAATAGAAAAAAAAATATTGCCATTAGTGCAAAAGATGGAAGGACATTAGTGGATGACAAGAGCTAACGACTATGAAAATTGTGGTGACTAGATATGTCAATTTTACCCATACTCAATAAGAAATTTGACTTTTTACCCAATAGGGATGAAGATGAATATTATATTATGAGGATGGAGATTGGGATGAGTATGATTTTAAAATTTTTATCAGGTACGAGGATGAAAACGAGTAATATAGTACTTGCTTCATACTCGTACCCATACTTTACATTTGTATTTAGTAAATAAATTTGTTATTAAATATTATAAATTATTATTTTAAATATACAAAATAAAAATTAAAAAAGTTTAAAAAATACATTTTGGTTTTTATTTAAAAAAAACTACAAATACGAGAATTACCCATTTTTATTAAATACTCGTGGGGATGGATATGGAGATAGATTTGAAATACTCATTCGGTATGAATACAGAAATGGGTATAACAAAAAAAACTAAGAATGAGGATAAAAAATACTTTACCCCCATTATACCCTATATATTGATATCTCTAATGGTGGCATGTCAGTTCTTGGATTTGGGAAAGCTATTGATTTAAGCAACTTAGAGAGAAGCTAACAATTTTAATTGTAAAGAGAGAAGTCGAAAATACAAAATGAAGCAAAAAGGTTGATTTTAAGGCTTTTATGATAAAAGGAAAATGATAATGTTTTGCCCTAAATAATCCCTAACCCGGGTGAAATCCTTTATCTAATATGAGATCTTTGCATATATTCATCCTTGACCAACTTTTTGTTTTAGTTTTTTTCACATGATTTTTATTGTGACATTATTCCATGATTTTGACTATGATAGTATTACATGGTTTTATTATGATTTTTTTAATGATATTTTTTATGATATTTTTGCATTATATTTTTATAATATTTTTATGATATTTTTTTATGATATTTTGTACGAAATTATTTTGTAAATAAATAAAAGGGAATAAAATTGGCTTCTTTGTCATAAGATATTTAATAGATCAAACAACAAAATCATTTTAAATGAATAACAATTTTATCTTGAATAATATTAAGGTTTTTTTTTTTTTATGAAAACCTAAAGATTTTTTTTAATATTTAAATATTGAATTAATAAAAATATTTTTTGATTAAAGCTTAAATAAGATAACATAAGACTAATTTGATACCAATTTTAGGCATTGTGAGGTGTTAAAATTTTTTCTACATGTAACCGATTCTGAACCTTATTCTTTTAAGTTCTCTTAGTTAAGTTTAGGATAATATTAAAAAAATAAATTCACTTAAATAATTAACAATACCTAATTAAAAAAATTAGTGACGAATTTATAATTTTTGTATGTAATAATTAAGTTCTCAAATTTAAACATCATCATCATTATTATTATTATTTAAGGTTTAAGATTTAGGGTTTACCCATGCTGAGTGCTCATTTCACAAATTTAGAATAGAGCAATTCCTTTTTTTTTTTTTTTCAACTCTATCATAAGTATTTCAAGTTTTGTTTGACCCTAATTTGCTAATTGAACCATTTTAAGATTACATCTTGTATCCATTTGACATATACGTTTGAATGATTCACATAAGAATCAAACTTTGCTTTAAAAAAAAAAACCGTCTTTTTCATACCATTTGCACTAATCCTCATGGATGAATAATTCTTTTTTCAATTTGTAGAATAGAATAATTCTATTTAAAAAAAAATTGAAGAAACAAGGTTAATTCTAGCGCACAAATTATAGAATCCTTAGGTGCATTTGGAATTGTCCTCCCATGAGCAAATAAAGCCAAATATTAGCATTTGCATGTATTTATGTATATTTTTCAGGGAGCTGAAATTTATTTATTTTTTAATACAATGAAAGTAGTAATTTAAAAATAAAAAATATTATATGTGTTAAAATTTAAATTTTATATTTATTGGATATATATTTTTTAAATAATTATATGAATAAATTAGATTAAATTCTGAATTGAAAATTTATTACTTTAGCATTTCATAAAAATGAAACTAAATTTAGATCAAAAATTGAAAAATAATAATTTGTATTATAAAAAAATTAAAAAGATTGAACTTACTGATAGCAATGTAAAAGAAAAACACAGCTTAAGCGAAGCCAATTGAAGCCGAGCAGCAGTGCCGGCCAAAAAACTTCTCATGAGATGCTTTAGATAAAATCCTGACCCTAACAAAACGGAGAGCGAATATATAGCTTAAGCGGATAATAATAGAAGCGTAGCCTGAGGTTTAATCCAACGGTCGAGATTAGATCAAAATCCCTAGGCGAACTAGTGCAGAAAAGGTATTAGACAGTCAGGTCACTCTATCTTTTGCTCATGCTGGTGGAAATGATTCCCTTTAGATTTCCAAATTCTTTAACTTGTACTATTAATTTCTTCCTAATTTCATTTGCATTTCAAAAATTTCCCCAACTCTCCTTATTATTATTGGAGTATACTCTATAAATACCCGTGTCCTTTCTCTCCCTTTATTCTCCACTTCCGTTTCCACCAGCAGCAGCAGCAGCAGCACCACCACCACCAGAGAAGAGAAAAGAAAGGGAAAAGAAGCGTCGTCGTTTTCTGCTTCTTCTTCCACTCTCTCTGAAACTCACTTCATTCTTTTCTTATTCAGGTAAGTCTTTTTTCTTTGCTTTTATTTTACTTCAAATCCACCGATCTGTGGATTTTGATGTTTTACCGATGGTGGAACTGAGATCTAGTGTTGTAGAAGTTTCTAGAACGTTTTAGAGAGTTAGATTTAGCTCGATCTGCTTCTTCTTGTATCTGAATCTTTACTTATTTTGATCTCCTTCATTACATTTGCCATTTCTTTATAGATCTTACGGGAATATTTGTTGGCCTTTATTTTGAACTTGATCTTCTTCCAACTTGTAGTGATTAATGCCTTCTTTGTGTAAATTGAATGCTTTTTGACGTTTTTTTGAGGTTAAGAAAATGCTTTAATCTTGATCTTAATTTCTATTTTGATTCATTTTGTTGTCCATCGGATTACACAGTCGCTTGCTTAGATGCTCTTCAAATGAATGTTGCCTACGATTTGAACTGACTATGTTTGGTTGCGCAACTGTGATAGAAAAATTTTCAGTTTTTTAGCTAGCTAGGATACTGAACAGTTTTATTTTCTGTGTTTGAAGAAATTAATGTTGACTTAGAGTGTTTCTGTATTTTCCATATAGAGAAACTAGAACTTGATTTGTCGAAGACTTTCATTTGACTTGTTTAGATAGATGAAAGGGCATAGAATTCCCGTTGATTGGTGATTTTGCTGTACTCACTATCTAATTCTTGTTTGTAGTATTGTAAAAGATGGCCGATGGTGAGGATATTCAGCCCCTCGTTTGTGACAATGGAACTGGAATGGTGAAGGTTAGTTGATTTGTAGACATGAGTTATATTCTCCATTATAGTTTATTTCTTTATGAAAATTGTGTTACTTTATTGTGGTTGATCTGATTTTATTTATCATGCAGGCTGGTTTTGCTGGTGATGATGCTCCCAGGGCAGTTTTTCCCAGTATTGTTGGTCGGCCCCGACACACCGGTGTCATGGTTGGGATGGGTCAGAAGGATGCCTATGTAGGAGATGAGGCACAATCTAAAAGAGGTATCCTTACTTTGAAATATCCCATTGAGCATGGTATTGTCAGCAACTGGGATGATATGGAAAAGATCTGGCATCATACATTCTACAACGAGCTCCGTGTTGCTCCTGAGGAGCACCCTGTGCTTCTCACGGAGGCACCTCTCAACCCAAAGGCCAACAGAGAAAAGATGACTCAGATCATGTTTGAGACCTTCAATGTACCTGCCATGTATGTTGCCATCCAGGCCGTTCTCTCTTTGTATGCCAGTGGTCGTACAACAGGTTCATTAAAACAGAAACCTCTTTGAAATTTTCACATTTTTATAGATCATCTGTAATCAAGCTGACACTGAACTATCTCCCTATCGGAACAGGTATTGTGCTGGATTCTGGTGATGGTGTTTCTCACACTGTGCCAATCTATGAAGGATATGCCCTTCCGCATGCCATCCTCCGTCTAGACCTTGCTGGTCGTGATCTCACTGATTCGTTGATGAAGATTCTTACTGAGAGAGGTTACATGTTCACCACCACTGCTGAACGGGAAATTGTCCGTGACATGAAGGAGAAGCTTGCTTATGTTGCCCTGGACTATGAGCAGGAACTGGAGACTGCCAAGAGCAGCTCTTCTGTTGAGAAGAACTATGAGTTGCCTGATGGACAAGTCATTACTATTGGAGCTGAGAGATTCCGATGTCCAGAAGTCCTCTTCCAGCCCTCTCTCATTGGGATGGAAGCTGCTGGAATCCATGAAACTACCTACAACTCTATCATGAAGTGCGATGTGGATATCAGGAAGGATCTCTATGGTAACATTGTGCTCAGTGGTGGTTCAACTATGTTCCCTGGTATTGCAGACCGTATGAGCAAGGAAATCACTGCCCTTGCTCCAAGCAGCATGAAGATTAAGGTCGTTGCACCACCTGAGAGAAAGTACAGTGTCTGGATTGGAGGATCTATCTTGGCATCACTCAGCACCTTCCAGCAGGTAAAATATTTTTGCTTATATATGGCTTTTGTTTTGCTTTGTTGTAAGTTGGTTGTCCAAGACTGACATTCTTGCTTTACCTGTTGCATCAGATGTGGATTTCCAAGGGTGAGTATGATGAGTCTGGTCCGTCCATTGTCCACAGGAAGTGCTTCTAAGTTTTATTAGTGCTTTGATGGTTAGTTACATTTTCCATGGCTTTTTTGTGTCCTGTGTCAAATGAACTCAAAGTCTGGTTGATATGGGAAAGTGTTGAAGTTGGGGATCATTGAAGGAGGGTGTACTTTGATCTTGATGTATTATATAAGCCTTCCATCTGTTATTACTACTGATGCCCTCTGGTGTCACTGCGATTGAGATGATGGCCCTTTGGATACGGTGGTTGGCAGACAATTGGTGCTTAGTTCCTTCCTTTCCATGCATCTTTCAACCATGTTTCTTAATTGGATGCTTGTAGTTGGAGAGTGATTGTGATGCTTCTTTCCTATATTTCCTTTAATTTCATATTTGAGGCTTTTTTTCCCCTGAGAACATTAATGTTAATAGCTATTGTACGAGAAAATTTAAATTAGTGTCAGTTTGCGGTCATAAACTTTTGTGGAAATTATATTTGATACCTGGTTTTGGAATCTTCTTGTGAATCATTATTGGCTGAATGCATCTGGTGTAATCTGTTTGAGGATTTCTCTTTAATTGTGGTGAACGTGGTTTCTTTCAATGCATGCAACAAAATGACAATATGTCAATTCGGTTGTGATTATGCATATGTTGGTCCTCCGAAAATTCCCAAGTTTAGGTGGTGAAGGTGAAAGTGCGCCTAGAATTGGTTGCTATCTTTTTGTTTTGTTGCGTGCATAGCTTCAAAGGCATCTTTTGGGAAACTATTGCCTAGTTCGAAATTGAAGACGTCAAAACTTGAATCAGGATTGAGTTGGCAGAGCAGTGCCTTCATTTGCGGACTGATCACATAATTCAAGCCGGTGATTGGCATGGCTATACAGGTGGAGCCCATTGTGACTTACATGATGACAACTAATATTCCTTTGTATGGTCGAATCGTTTGGTTGCTTCCTGGGTAGATGATGTCTTTCTGTCTATACACCATTCTTTTTCTTGGCACATGCTCCTCAAAGGTATCAGTTATTTTTCTCATGTTCGATAATAAACCAAGGAAATCCGTGGAATCAGTCACATTAAGACAGTAGGATGGGATTGATGATTGATACGGAAACACCATCTTCAACCTACACATTGCAGATGAGCAAAAAATGACCATATTGGCTAAGCAGAGATGCTTTGAATCAAAGTAATTTAGGTGACTTCAGTCTTGCAGTTGTAGTTAAAAAATGTTAAGTTTGAATTGAAAAAAATATCGTTAAAAATTTTAACTATTTGATATTATTGTGAAAAAAATACTTGAGAGTAATTAGAATGTAATATTTATAAAATAATAAAATATTTAAAATATATAAGTAATATAAATATATTTTTTCAAATGTATTTTTTATTATAAAAACATCTCTTGAAGAATTTTTTAATTTGGGCTAGCAAATTAAAATTTTAAACTAAAAAATTATATATATATATATATATATATATTGTTATTTAACGTTAAGGTTTGGTCAAAAACAATTTTTAAATACAAAATCTGTTTGGTTTTGAACATGAATGGGACAGTTGGCAAGACTGGATAAACGCCTACATTCTAAGGTAGCCAACTATATATTTATGGTTAAACGCTTCAATTTAAGATTTAATATTTTAAATTTTTTAATTAAATATGTTATCTTTAATTTGATTTAATGTAAGATTAAATGTTCTCGAGCTAGTCCAAAATAGGACTCCATCACAATGGTGTTATTCATGTTTTAAAACAGAGTGATATCCTTAATGGACGAAAAAAATAAAGGTAAAATTGTATTTCTATCATAAAAAATAAAATGGTTGTAAAATAGTTATATTTAATAAATAAAAAATAAAAATTAAAAAAATATTGTAAATAATTGAAAAATAAAAAATAAAAGATAAAAATAAGAAACTTAAAAATATAATTATCAAAATCCAATCAAATATTAAATCATTTAAGATTTCGAATCATTGGGTTAATGGTTCAACTATTGAGTTAATTGTTGGTTCAACAAAATATATTATAAAATTATATATTTTAAAAATTTAAAATTTACAATTTTAACTCAAGTTATAGTTTAATAGTGCTACCATAAAATTATAAATCTTAAAGTATATTATAAACTACAAATTTTAAAATATAAAATTCATAAAACAATTAATTATTGTTAGAAATTAAATTACTTAATATTTTATTAAAATTATATTTTATATTTTAATAGTTAGAAATAATATTTATATTTTAATAAATATAATAAATAATAACTAATAAATAATTATAAATAATAATTATTATTTATATTTATTAAAATATAAATAGTATTTATTAATATATAATAATTAATCTTTAGGTAATAAAAAAGAAATATCTATATATAAAATTAATAAAAAAGAAATTTATATATTTATATGAAAATTAGTAAAAGAAAATTAAAATCATTTTTATATTTTTTATATGAATGTAGATTTTTTTATTAATTTTACACATAAACATTTTCTTTTATTAATTATTTTCAATCATGATCAAATAATTAATCATTTTTATTACCATTTTATTTTTTATTAATTTATATATTATTATTTTTATAATTATTTTTTATTATGGTATCAATTAATAAAATTTTTTGCTAGATCCTCTTTTTTTGAAAATTACTTATTTTTACATATATGTAAGTTTTTTTGCAACGTATTATCCACATGTCTCAAAATATGCTAACATATCATTCACATAAAGATATAAGGGCTTTGATAGTAGAAAATAAGAGTTGAGAGGTTTATTTAGATGAAATAGTAGTATAAATATTTAATTAGATTATTTTGAATACTTGAAGGGTTTTTTTTTTCTCATATTTTACTTAAATCTATTAGTTGATATTGAACCTATTCGGTTAAAAAAAAAACCTCATAATTTACTTGTTTATTATATAAATCACCAATTCACAACGATTTAAAACAATTTAATTGTAAAATTAATTTTACTAAAAAATCGGATCAATTTTAACATCAATTCAATCGATTGAATCCACTGCTCAATCCGATTATAATAACTATGCTTAAAATGACTAATCACCAAATTTTACTTTCACAACTGTGTAAATCAAACATAAGAACCAACAAAATTTAACATAACAAAGATCTATAGATGTGGAAATGGTAAGTATATAAGTCACTAATGTCCCTAACACACACCTATTTTAGTCGATTGCAAATTTTAAGTTGGTGAAAACAAAAGAAGTAGTTCACTGTAAAAGAGCCAAAGGAAGAAACAAACAGCTATCCAAAAACTTTCAATAAAAACTCATCGAAATTCAAATTACACTTGAAATATTTTCAAATTTCATCCAAATTTTACACCCATAAAAGTGATCGATCATTAATTAAAGAAAATCTAATAAAAAAAAAAAGACTAACCTGCTCTACTAATAGAGTTGGGGCATACCAATCAACAACAAACTGAGAATTGTCGAGTGTTTGCTGGATTCGACTAAGGTTACACTAGGATTGGGTCCCTGTACTGGAGGCTGGAGCATCAACCAATTTGCTCCATCAATCACTGAAGTTTTTTTTATGGAAACTTGACCTCATTTGTCTCATTCTGAGCCATCCCCACAATCCTCACTAGAAAACAACCACACAAAAAAATCCAATAATTCAAAAATAACCCAAATGAAAAAGAACCAAAACCCAATTCAAAAATACCCTAAAGTTTAATTGTGATAAGAAAATGAAGGGAGTTTTTTATTTACTAAAATTGAAATTGGGTTTTCAAAAATAGAGTTTCGATGGTTTCGACAAAAACCTTTATTTTCTTTCAAACCCATAATTTTCTACCCATTATTCTTCACACCAAGATCTAAACCCAAATTAATAATGCCATTATTGATTCTCATCTCATGCCATTCTCATCATGCAATCGGAGGGTTTTAGACAAAAAAAAAAAAAGATTTGAAAAACTTGAGAGAGTGAAATTTTAAAAAGAGGATGAAAAAAATGAAAGTGATATAAAAAAATTTCATTTAAATTTTTTTAGTCAGATTTTTAAATTTTTCATTTTTTTGAACATGTATTATTGTTAAAGAGTTAAGGGAGAATGTAGTTTACACTCGTTAAAAAGTTTTAAATAGAGCAAATTCGAATGTTTAAATTTAATTTGAGCAAAATTAAAAATTATATCCTTAATTAAGAATTGATCTAAACATTATGTTCCAAGTTAAATATTTAACCTATATTTCGGCATTAGGTTACTATTGTTTAAAACCAAATTTGACCTATTTAGGCATTGACTAGGAAAATAAAGAAAAAGAAAAGAAAAGAAAAAGAAAAAAGTATAAAAAAAAGATTAAAAAAATAAGAAGTAAAAGAAATAAAAGATTTTATTTCAATCCACGTCAAAAAATTGTTCAAAAAACTGATACTAATGTAGTACAAAGACATAAAATGATAAAATTTTATTTGATGATAAAACGGTAAAATTACATATTTTAAATTATTTCAATGATAAATGTAATCTTTACTATTTTTTCATTTTTTAGGGAATAGATATAATTAAATTGAATAACTTAAGGTTCCTATTGATATGAGGTTTTTTTTTTTTTTTTATCTAAAATGGAGAGTAATTTAGTCACCATGTTTATTATTAATTCGAAAACTTTATGTAGCAGTAATCTTAAATAAAAAAATGTAATTAAATTATTATCTTATGAGATGATCTAAATCTTATTTAAAAAAATGAAAATTTTTATTATCAATGGAGAGTGATCTTCAAAATCATTTTAGAAAGAATTAATTTATTTTCAAAGTGATACCTATCAAAATATGTTTTATACTCAGAAGATTTTTTCCATGCAATACAAAAAACAATAATTTAAAATCATTAATGATTATTTTTTAAAAATTTATTGGTAATCAATAATATTACATCAAATATGATAATGCAAGATTATTAATAATTAAGTCATCTTAATAATTTTATTATCATGATAATTAGATCATCATTGTGATCTTAGAACTAATATCAAATACAAGTAATCATGAGAATCAAGTGGATTGATATTTTTGAAAATTAAGCCCAAGATTAATTCATATAATTCATTCCATGTACATTATATTTTATTGTCAATTATACAATAAGGTGCTTTTATATTAATATTTTAATATTTTGCAATACATTCTAAACTAAAAAAATCAAAATATATATTATTTATTAATAAAATAAACTTTTTTCAAATATAATGATGAAGGTAACAAATAAAATCTAAATTTAATATAAATTGAGGTAAGTCTATAAACTTGATTAAGTGGGACAAGATTTAAATGAAAATTTTTAAGTGAAATTTTTAATTAAAAAAATCCAATAAAAAATAATAAAAAATTCAAACAACTGTTTAATAAAGTTTAATTGCTTTTTTTACTTGTGCTATGCACAAAATTTTTTATTATATTTTTTATAATTTAAAATTTTAATTCATACTAATTTTTATATTATATATAGATAAATAAAA